AACTTTTTATTGCGAGCCTCCGTAAACAAACTATCGTAATAAAAATTGAGAAAGTTTCACATATTCGCATAAGGTTTAAGGTGGTTGTATCGCAAAATGACTTTTCTTAAGATTTGTTTGAAGTTTTTACTATTTGAAGATAATGATATTCTCTATACATACTCGTACGTATCATTTTGAGGGAGGGTAACCAGGCATGTTCAAAAGATAATTGCATTTGAAGTTAGTATTTTTAACATGTGCTAGACAAGGAGTTCCCTGTGTTAGACAAGGAGCGATAGTATATTTTCAATTATAGCGTAAAAACAATATTTAAAAATTCGCTCAAAAACTAGAGAACTATAGATTAATATAATACGAATCTCCTAAATAGAAGAAAATCGGGGTAACCAGGCAAATATTAATTATAAAACCTTAGAAAGTTACTTTACTACTTCACTAATATCCACTTCCCTTATCAACTCATTCTCAAATACCGGCACACAGTAGGAAAATAAAAATTACTGTTAAAAAATTGCTGAAGATCGCAACTTTTGAACAGTAACTTTTTTTTTTCCCACCGAACGGCGCCCTCATACGCTGACGCTTCGGGGATTGCCCTCCCACAGGCCGCCTCTATGCGATACAATGGCTACGTTTACACCGTGCATTTAGGCCACGGCCTATACAATAGACGTCCTTGTTTATCCTGTATATTAAACAAAGACACTTATCGTATAGGTCGCGGACTAAGCGCACGGTGTAAACGTAGCCAATCTCACCTTAAATATTCTATCTGAGAATTACCTATAATTTAAATTACAATCATGAGATTAACAGATGTAAAGTCCCAGACACAATGCAAGGAAATAGCGATAGCGGTACAAGTAATACGATTTCAACTTATTAGAGACTGTGTATTCAAGTGTATTCGACTTTTGATAGAATGAAATTGTGTTATTTCTATTGTTATCGCTATTCTCTTGCATTATGTTTGCTTAAATCATATGATTTATATCTAGAAATTTAGAAATATCTCTACTTTCAATCGTTTATTAGTGCATTATCATTAATATTTGTTCATTTTTCCGTTAAATGGAAATAAAATTTCAAAAACAAAAAGGCAAATATAATAGCAACATTTTTAATGTAAAAATTTTCTTCTATTATCATTTACTTTTATATTTTTTATAAAGATGTCATTCATTTTCATAAAGAGTAAAACTTGGAAGATAATAAAATTAAATTACACGGTAATAAAGAAAAATTTACGACAAACGATGCTGACGTTTTAATAAAAAAGAGAAGTTATGTGCTGCATGGAACACATCGGAAGCCCAGTTGTTGACACTGCCTGCAGCATGTACTATTACATCAAGACTAAATCAATTATACGGTTATACATCTGTATCAGAATATCATGTGATCAAAGACGACTGTAACTAGAAATTAGTGTATAGTTTCTGGGCTGAAACTTCTTTGTCGTTAGAAAAATGTTTTTATGTTTTAATATCATTTATATTATAATGCAGTTTCTTATGGAATAATATTACTTACAAGAGAAGTTTCACAACTGTCCGGAACCGATTTGATTCTCCATGAAATATGTTGTTAAACATGAAAATCTAAGAGACACGTATTTTTTTTATACGTGCGCTAACTCATGTTTAAGGGATGAAACACCCCTTTGAAAAAAAAAACGGTATATCTGTTTCGAGCCGAATACCGTCGGAAGTATAAAAGATGGAAAAAAATTTTTTATAGAAAGTTATAGAAAAATATGTGTCTCTTAGATTTTAGTGTTTAACAACTTATTTCATGGAGAATCAAATTGGTTTCAGACAATTGTGAAACTTCCCTTGTAAGTATTTCAAATATATTCCTCATCGGAGAGAATGAAAATTTTTCTATTAATTTATAGTCTAAATATTAAATCGTCATATGGCGAGATATGGTACTATTATAAGTACTCTTAAATAATCGTTAATAAAGAATATCTATTCAAATCTTCCAAATGACGTTTATTAATTTTTATCTTCTTAATTGTACTGGCCCAAAAAATTATTGTCACTGTATCTAGCTGAATTTTTAAATAATTTAATAAAACCGTCTGTCTTTTGTCACGTTTAGTGACGATTCGTTGGCCGTTTAAAGAAATGAAAACGTAAAACGGCATAATGATTGTATTTTACTTTTGTATGGAAAAAGCTGTACATGAAAAGAATAATTTTTGACATTTTACCAATCAGTTTGAACGTCCTACATAATTATTTTGATAACATAACAAAATTATTTTCAGACCTATATCTAATTAAATTTTTAGATACTTCAGCAAATCCGTTTTACCTTTTATTATATTTAGTATGATAAAGATTCGTTGGCTATCTAAAGAAATAAAAATATGTAGCGACGTAACAACAGGATCGGTATGGACGATCCTGAGAGAGGCGGAATGACAAGGGTGTATGCCGACACTAACAGCAGGCGAGGGTGTTGGCGGCCGGTAGCTCTGTGAGGATGGAGGGTGGTTTCGACGTTGAAGGATGGCACGTCGCTCTGTGAGACGCGTCGGGAATGCTTTGCCATGTACACGTACAATACGCGTTTAGACAGAAATGTAACTCGTGCTGCAAACGGGTTGCATCCCCGACCAGACGATTCGCGGATTGTATGGTTCGCGTATGAATCGTTTTCGTATACTGCGACGAATAACGTTCGATGGACCAACGTATATGTACCTCCGCGATTTTATTGGATTTAACTATGAAACTGATGTAACGTCAAAGCCGTGCTTTGTTCCAAAGCATTCAGTGTGAGCGAATTTTGTTGTAATTGAGAAAGAACACATATAACGCTGTTAGGATGTTAACAGTCATTTTAAGGGGGGATTATGGTCTAGAAACTTGATTTTTAGGCTATTTTCACAAATTTTTTTTGAAAAGTTCGTAAAGTCTATTCAAATAGCTTGTGTGGACCAGAATCTCCTCTTAAAGATGAATTCAGCTATCTGTCAAAATTTTAGAAATGATTCTATATAGCAAAATATAAAAAATCATATAACTGTATGGTTTAAAAATCACAAAATTATAATATACATATAGATAAGATATTACTACAATGTCTTTTAATTATAATGAAAATTAGTTTTGACTAGACAACGTCTAATTATTATTTATATAGAGGCTCACTAGTTTTAACTGTATGTTTCTATGAATATTCTTTTTTTGTCTTATTGAATATGATATGAAAAATTTATTTCAGAGATTTATCTATTTCAATATCATTCTATATATAGAATAAGTATCGTAACGACACATAATTTAATACATGTTAACAGTGCATTACGGATATTAATTAAAGTCGAAAATGTCATAATAGTTTCAAAGTTATAAATGTTCGAAGTTGGTCAATAATATCGCACACATAGTTTCTACTTCAAAGTTATAACTACATGTACATGTATACCGATCTGTTGTTAAACATTTTAACACATGTTCGCAGTAGTATTGATTTTTATTGCTCAGTTAATTTCTTGGTGAAATGAAATCAAAAGATAAAATCAATAATCAGTAATAACTGAAAATGATAAATATACATCGTTTATTTCGCTATATAATAGCTCATATAATTCTTCTTTACTAAATCGCATTGCATATATGATGAACTTTATCATGCGATTTAATATTTAATATTTTTAATAAAATTTTATCCACGAATAAATTGCTAAATATTCCATTTATAATTATTACTTCGAAATACATTCATTAAAGTTTATTTTGCTTAACTTTAAATCATTACAAAAATCAACAATGAATAAAGATTAAGCTATGACAAAAAATAGATATGTACATATATTTTATATTGAAATACTTAAGCACTAAAGTTTGTTTCGACCAAAAACAGAATTATTTCTCTTAATTGAGGCTATGCAAATTAGAATAAAATTTATATACATATGTATATAAAGGACCCCGCACTAATCCTGTATAAAATTAGGTTTCGGTTAAATCAAACAGTTTTCTCATATGTTATAGCTTATGACCTGCTAAACAAAACCTATAAGTTTTAGCGAAAAAAAAAAATGAACAGTTTTCGTGTTTGATTCACCTAAAGTTGCTGACATTCCATGAAATGCTCAATAATTTCTAAACGGCTGACCTAAAATGGATAAAATTATAGTGTTTTGAAAAGGTCTCAACAAGGACTATAAGAAAATGAAAATATTAAAATATATTTAAATAATTTCAAGAATATATCAAAGGAGAGAGAGAATGTTAGATGGTTGTGGCAGATTTTGTATATAAAGATGATTACCCTTGCTAAAGCAATTAACATTTTTCTGTAGGAATTAACATCTAAACATTTCTGAGACTCAAACGACGATGTTTTCAGAGCTTTGCGCGTTGCTTCGTCGAAGAAACACACTGTAATTGTTATATTAATTGAAGCCTTAATTATGCGCAACGATGCGCTATTCGTTATTCGGTTTTTTTTCTTATCCTGTCTAATATTCTATGGTAAAGAGCTACAACGTCACGCAAATGCATTGGTAGCTATATATAAAGTATAATACAAGTAATTTGCAGTTACTGTGCCCTTCGTGTAACGCGAAGCAACGAAACAGCCGTTGTTTCCCAAACGTGAATGTCGGTTATCTTGTTAATTTTCTCCTTCTAATGTTTGTAAAATGGCCCAATTACATTAAATAAATTACGTTTCTAATTCTTTCTTCTTTTACCAAACCTCGCGTATCGTCGCAGTTCGGAAAAAAAATGATTTCTCTTAAAATATTTTATGCGCGCGATTAAATGCTAATAAATAATACATTACGTGAGTATATCGCTTAAATCAGTCTGTATTGAAATTGTGTAACAATATTAGAGATTCCAACATTTCATATCTTAAACAAGTATATATTCATAAAAAATTGTAAGAAAAATGTTTCAAGGCATAAAACATTTATAAATTGATATTTAAAAGTGAGAGAGAGAGAGAGAGAGAGAAAATCATTTATCGCTCACCTGTTCGACCCACAGGTTCGTCGTCATAATCTGATTCTTCAAATTCTGTAACAAAAATTGTTCTTTTAATAAACATAAACTGCATATATTTTTTAATTATACAATCCATAATTAATTATCCGTTAAAATCTACAATTTCTATTTCTATAATTTATTCTAACTACTTTTTAATTTAATTCAATATATATTTTTAAAAATATTTATATTATTAATTTAATTTATATATATTAAACTTTGTTCTAATTCTTCATTATACATCTACACATTTCTTGATAAATTTACGTAATCTTCAATGCAATTAAGAATTTTTAATTTCTTTTAAATTTATTTACTTTCAATAATAGGGGATGACGTTAATTATGATTATATAAGAAGTAAATCATTTGATGTCCTCTGAATTCGTTTAACTTCCAAAAACAGTTCCTATAGTTCTATTTGGCAAGCGTTTGGCAACGGGTCTTCTTCACTAGAAAGTGTACGACACTAGTCTTCTTTTTGCATCTGTCAGCCGCAGCGCATTGTAATTTCCGGATTCAACGTCGCCCCTCGACTAATTGGACCTAGCTAACAGTTCGGGCGCATAGATGGAACTTGCAGCCGCAATCCTAGTTATGGACTGCTGGTATGCGATTTTGGACTTTCTGCTATTTCGTGAATCCATGACATTCACAATTCAAACTATACTATACGTGGAATCTATCCATGCCCGCATCTGTTTGCATGTGCGCGCAAATCTAATCCTGATTGAATGCAAACGATGTGTGTCGGAGACAGGTATATTCTCAAATATTTCTGCAACATTTATACAATTGCTGTTGACTTTGAATATGAGATTATTAATTACCTATTAGTAATATCATAGACGCTGCTATCGATATCATAATTAGAGTAGTCACAATTATTGTAGTTATTGATAATTAAAATTTTAATGTCAACATCATTAATTTAATATTATTACTGTATTACCTGGTATTGGAATATTATGAAATTTATAGGTACATTAACTTTCGAACAATAAATTAATTTCTTACTTAATTTAATTATATGAATTACTGTTATTTCCTCGTTGCTCTTTTAATTCCGCAATAATAACTTGCCGCAGAAATTTATCTACGGTCATGAATTCCATCGTGTGTCGAAACAATAAATATATACATTAACGATGTTGGGCGCTTCCGCTATGACATCAATGAGGTGTCCGACAAGGTAATCATCGCAACATAGTCGCATCGAGGGGCCGGTATTGAATGGATATTCACTCTGGGATGAGTTATCCTCCGCGATAGGAAGGCGGATTGCATTCATATGTAAATGTAATAATACCAATATAGCTTTAGTCTGCACGAATCTCGGATGTAAATGTATCTAACGAAGATCGGATATATTACCGTGGTGCTATCAAGAAGCGTTGATGTGGCTTTACGTGGAAAATGTAATTTGGTTTTTTATCTCTATAATTATAATTATATAATGATATTCGTTGAAACTTATTAAAAGGAAATATGGTAACAAAACAGAATAATATGAAAAGATCATTTTCTTTTTAATTAATCGCATTATGTCTGTATTTGTTTCATCATTGTTTTTATAAATGATAAATTATACGTATTATACTTCTCTAATATGCTTTATCCTTGATCTTTCATATTTTTAAATTAAAAATGCGTCGCTAACAAGAACATTTATTTTTCTAATGAAAGAAAACGGTGTTACTTTTTGTACAAATATTATTTCCTTTTTTCTTTCAATGTTTCGTATATAACAATTATCAGATTAATTGTTACTTACGTGACTCCGTCGAATCGATTGAATTATTGCGAGATTATAGAGCTCATCGGGCGACAAGCATTATCGCGATTATAGGGGCAAAGGCTAATTAATTCGTACGTATTCGATATACACGCACGTGTTCGCCAATTCGCTTGAAATTAATGTCATGTCGATTGTAACCACGGAAAGCGGAAAACTCGCATGTCGGTTTGTACGAATTTCCGCGTCGATGTGAGACTGCACTTGTCGATCTGAATAATCAATTTTGACACTTGACAGTGTCGAATGCAACGACGACAATAATATCTAATAATAACAATAATCTCATGCTTCTTAGCGATTTAATAATATAATGTATACTACACTAAAAAAATTTTGTTCATTTTTGATCCAATGAATGATTGTTAACCAATATCCGACTTAATGTCCGACTTAGGCCCGTTTCTACCAATGTAGATTAACTTCAATCTCAGTTCAACTTATTCTTTATCTTTTTCTAATTCTCAAAACTGGAAAAAGATGAAGAGTTAGTTAAACCGAGATTAAAATTAAATTATATTGGCAGAAAGGGGTCTTAATGTAATTAATTCATTGATACAATAAAACTGGATTAATTTATACAACTATATATTCATTCTTGCAATGAATTCTAGGAATAGTTTTATATTCTAAATCATTATGAGAATTCATTGGACAAATTTTCATTATTTTTTCATAATTCAATGAATATTTTATTGTATTTACGACCAGTTTTGGTTCAGTGTAATATTTGTATAACAATGCAATAATGACAAATCCAATACAATAACACAGTAACTATTGAAATCGTTATTTTGTATTGCCAATCATTAATGATAAGTGATAACGTAGTTTGACTTATGATATTATTAATTAATTAATTTCCATTAATAATATAATGGCACAATAGTAGCAGTTGCTCATTATTGAAATTAACCAATACGCGAATCAGCTACGACGTGAACTATTTGAAAAGTAGCAGAGAGTAACTTCGAATTGTTCTGCATCAATACCACGACATTCACGACATATTGCCAATTACGAGCAGAGTGAAAGGTAATTAGCAAATTACTTTATGTTTAATTAAACTCTGATTGCGGTGTAGCATACGATACGTCGATGTGCCATATGATCGCGCGAATGTACCATTAGAGCGAACGCGCAATATGTTAATTGATTTGAACATACGTGGCGGGTTTCAATACATAGGTGGATATTAGATTCATTGTGCTGTTCATGCGAATCGTAAATTAAAAATTCCTATCGAGTTTCCGTACTTGAACGCAAGAGTCTCCGCGTGTCGCAATCGATCGTTCCTAATTAATTCTCGCGCAATGCGGTAATAGAATTAGCTAGTTATAGTTCAGGAAAGGATGGATTACTTTTGTTTTTTAAAATGATAACGATAAAGATAATAATTATTGTGCAAAAGATACTCGATCGTGATCTTGGAGAGATAAGAAATGAAGATACCACAGTTTGTCATTTATCAATATTGTTAAATTAATTATTTATTAAGGAACATCGAATAATGTTTGTGTAATGTTTGCATCAACTATATTTATCATATATTCATCGATATATTCAAACTTAATTTTCTAAAAGCTTTGTATATTCTAAAAATTCTATCTTTTTGTAGTCAATATATTGGTTGAAGTTATTTATATTTGTCGTTTATTAGAAGATTTATATTAATATTAGGGGAAGATCACCGATACCGACATATCATTTGTTTTTAGACAATGGGCGAGTTCAAAACGGCAAAGCGGCTAGGCATGCTTATCGAGCAATTGAATATGATTGATTGGATCTATAAGTAATAACCAATTATGTTTATTTGCTCGGCGAGCAGGCTAGCCGCTTGAACGCCCAATATTTCTTAAACAAAAGGTAAAAATACAACTTCAAAAACATAAATACAAACTAAAAAGTGTCTTCTATCAGATAGATAAGCAGTTTTTTTTATAATACTGTTTGCAATTTTGCAATAATTAAGTTTTTCGTAAGTTATGCAAAAATGAGTGTCTGACAAAATGGGCTTTAAAATTGACATAGTAGCCAACATTCCTATTTTATAAATAAAGATATATATATCCTATTCTGTGAAGAAAACTAATTTATGAAACTATAAACATTTAAAATGATATAATATTATCAATAATACAGTCACTATTATTTTAATTACGCAACTTGCAAAAGAACACCGTAAGAATTTTCTTCTCGGATTCATAGAATTTGTTTTTAGCTGATTTGATATAGAAATAAGCCACAAATATATGAATTATGAGTTTGTACTTCTTTAATTAGCTAAACAGATCACGTTTTTATTAGTATTAATAAGGTGCAAAGGTTAGTTCTAAGAAATAAGGGAATGTCGCTTTAGGAGATCTGTCAGTATCGATGATCTTCTTCTACTATTAAATAATAATAAATCTATTAAAAATATATATATTTTAGAAAATCCATTTAAAAGTCTAATCCTCCTCCGTCTTTTTGCGAATTTGTTCAAGTATAAACATGCTTGTCCTATCTTTAGAGCTATCTCTTGAAGCGATATTGCAAACGGATTGTAGCTGTAAGAGGCATAATCATAAGAAAAGTAACAAGCGTTGTATAAGAAAAGGCAGATTTAATTTGTATCGTTCTTCGAAGATATTATATCGATTTAGTGCGATTTAAAACTTGGTAGTAGATAAGTTTTGTACCTGCTCGAAGTTTTCAACAGAAGAATGATAAGAAAAGAAATAAAATTCAGAATTGAAGTTTTTTAACGTTAGTTTTTTCAATCAGTAAGTAAGCAAATTGTTTTGTAACATTACAAACAAGGATGTCGGTTTTAAATATAAATTAAATTGAAAGGACTTGAGAAAGAAGAGTATATTTCATATACGTATAAAATTTACGCATATAGAAAAAGAACTGTAAATTATATTTTAATGAATTTATATTCTTTCTAAATGTAAAATATTAATTAGATTGAACATATTTGTATAGGTATCCTGCGTCAGAATATTGAATTCTGGCACAAAATCCGGAATTAATCGGTGACCGTAAGTCAAACGAACGACAAATGTTATGAAGTTGACAGGATGACAAAGAACGAATATAGCAAAATGTTCAGGCTCTCGAGAATAATTTCTTCATTTCTGATGTCGTAAATCAAGATGACCGATTGAAGTGGGATTAGAGTGGCAAAAATAGATGTATGCTCGGGACGGCTGGCGAGAGATGAATAATGCTCTGTTTTCCGGCGTTGA